TGCTTTTCAATTGAAAAGACATAATTTTTAAAGACATTTGTCATGTTTGGAGACATCAGCACGTCATTTCTCGACCCGATCTTTCATTGGAGCCCAAAAAAACATTCATATCTTGTCTGCCATCGCTGCCACAAACTCTGGTTTTCAATTGAAACCAGAGTTGAAGACCAGAGTTTGTAGCAGCGATGTCAGACAAGATATGAATGTTTTTTTGGGCTCAAATGAAAGATCGGGTCGAGAAATTGGACCTTTAAGGGGTAACGGAACCGACCACAAAAAGACGTTTCCCAAAAACAAGTTTTCTCAGATTCTATGCAATGAGAATCACTGAAATCGCTCTCTTCTCATGTACTTTTCAAGTACAAAATACAAAAAACCACGGGACCCTGCAATACCGATAGGGAGGTTCCCTAACCTCTCCGTGCGACGGGTTCCGTTGCCCCTTAAAGCCGAATTAGGATTTGAATCCCGACGACCTGGCGCAGTGGGTAAAAGGGTTGCCTCACATGCGAGAGGTTTCGGGTTCGATTCCCGGTCGGGGAGAATGGTGGTGATCTAACCATTCAAAGTCTTGATCAAGCGGCCGCTACAATAGATCTTGATAGATTTAGGTGGCATAGGCGCTTTGTGCGCCTAGTCGCTCCATTCTAATCTCTAATCTCTAGGATTTCAATCGAACTGGCCATCGCGCAGTAGAATATAACAAGTTGAATCAGCCAGTGAGGAAGTAAAGGCGCTATTAGCAACGGGAGGAAAAATTAAACGGTGCTTTTCGAAATGACGGCAATCTTTCGATCGGCAAATCATCAATTTTCGCCGAATTTTTACCGTAGTTTTTTTAAACGAGCTTCTGACGTTAAAGTCATCGACTTTTTCCTTTCATGTAAAAAAAATCGCAACTACCATTGCATTATGTTGCCAACAAGGTCCATAAATTTTGAAAACCTCTCGGCCAGAATAATTGTTTCACGAGTGGAGGAACGAACGAACTAGATTCGAAGTTTCAATTGGGACTTGCAAGGGATACATTCAATCAAGTTTCCATAAAATGAATGAACTTTATTATTTTCTATCTAGATGTACACTAATATAATTATAATCAACACTCTTTCAAGTCAGCAAACTCCCCAATTACAAATGTACCCCCTCCTAAGCGGGTCCATGCGATTTACAATAATACCATTTTTATAATCAAAAATTTAATCCCGATGATTCTTATAAAGACGAAGGCATGCTTCCACGTCCACGTAGATCGTCTAAGTCATTCAGTCCTCTCACCGCACAACATTTTACATCTCGTGTGATAAAGTGATAAAACTCTTTACTGATTAGCAATAATTCTCCGTCACCAGCGACTGACACTATCGGTACTTAAACTACTGGGGGAGGTTCACTCTCCTTACTGTGCGTAGATACAGCTAGTGTTGCTGATGATGATCCATTGTTACATGGAACTCAGCGGATAAGAACATTCTCCACAATTTGAGTGCGCCCTTATTACAGGGCTCCCTCAGTATCCCCACTGTTCAGTCTATAAATTTCATAATTGTTCATTCTGGTACAAGTTATGTTACTAGGAAATTCTTGCTTTCACGCGGGGTAATCACTCCGAAGAACTTGTACACTGGATTTCAAAATTTCAAGGAATCCTCTGGAACGAATTTTCCAGAGTATTCTGTACCGTTTTGGACCATTCTTGAACTTTCTAGAACTTTTCATGAATTTCTGGAGAGACGCAGAAAGTCACTGCGCGGAGAGAAAAAATTAGGTCTGTCGAAAAATTATGAGCTCCCCTGAAGAAATCTTTTGTCGTGTTGAATTAATTTACTTGTGGATGATAATTTCGAGGGGCCAATTTTTTTTGGGAAATAAATATTCTTTCCTCGTTAATGTATTCTTTCTGTGGTATAAACCTATGGAGTTCTCTCAGATCAAATGATTGTCGTACAATAGATTATATTTTTTCCTGCCGACAGTTCGAATTTTTCTAGGAATATTTCTGACGATCACGACAAAATTTAGTTTTTGCGAAAGATATTAAATTTACTTCTATCAAGTTGGTTAACCCTGAAGTGGTCGCATCGTGAGGGAATCCCCGCTAAACCTGTTGCAGCCTACAGGGCGCCTCTGTAGAGCGAGCAAGATACTAGAAAAGCGCGATCACTTAAGGGTTAACTTCCCTCAAGTAAATCCGTTTCACTCTATCAAAATTCTCGCGTGGAACATCTAGTTTTTCGGCAGAGTTAATTTTTTCTCTTCTATTGGACTTCTATTGAAATGTTCAATAGAGAATATTTTATACAAAAAGTCAATAAAATTCAATTTTTCCATACAACTCATTCTATGATATATTTTCTATAGAATTTCCTCAGCTCAAATTTTCTGATTTTTTGTTTGATTTTCTTTATGAAAAAAAAGAACAATAGAGTGAAAAAGCTTAGAAAATTTGAGACGAGGAAATTCTATAGAAAATATCTCCATAGAATCGGCCAAAAATTAGTAGAAAGTTCAATAGAAATCCAATAGAATTGTCTAATGGATTCGCTAGGTTTTTCCATTAGATTTTTTCGTGCATACGAACATCCCAAATTATATAAAGTAAGATATTGTTCACAATGTTTATTGAAGTAATTCCTGAAAAATCAATTCAACAATGGGAACTCCTCAAAAGTATGGGAATCGCAAGATTTTGGACCAAACTGAAATCTTGCTTGAAAAAAAAGTGGATAACTGGAACGATTTACTTGGATATCCTTAAGGACACTAGAATCGTGCCTGGAACTACTTGATTCATGAGTTTTTCCTTCGAAAACTTATAATGAATCCAAAGCAGCTCACGGATTCCTGTGGAACTGTAAAATTTCTGTATTCGATACAGAGAACATCGATGAATATTCTCAGACAATTGGGCAATTACTTCCACCATTCGTGAACACCAAAAATGTTGATTCAATATTATCAAAAGGCAGTGTTTGACATTGTCAAAATGAGGATTGTAGTTATCAACACAGTGGTAATTCTCATTCATACGATACAAACTTATGAGTAATTGAGAATACCGGAATGGGCAGTCCCTCCGAAGATCTCGTGGTGTTTTGGACCTTGACCGATAGATCTGCTGGGTCACATTAAACTGACGCCTGTAAGTTATCACTTTGAAAACTCGGTAAATACCTAAGATAACAACTCCAAATTAAAATGCAAATTCAAGATTAATATTAGCATATTAATGAGTTTGTCTCGATAAAAGGCGATTGGAGCGCATGTCGACTCCTGCAATCCCAGGGACTGTCTCACTCTCATATTCTCAATAGAACACTATCATATACAACAAACAATCCGTGTATATACACTGAGAAAAAAAAAGTTCGCCATATATCCGTTTACTTGAGAGAAGTATTTATTTTTTCAATACCATATTTCTACAGTCGAGTCATTCCCAGGCAATTCTCATTAGGTTTTAATTATGACAATTATATTGCTCTAGAAGATAATCATGTCAGCTATAACATTGAGTGAACTCCCTCAATAATTATAAACTTTGAAAAATTAATTGAAATTCTTCCCCGTAGAAAATGAGAAATTTTCGAAAAATGAATAATTATTGGAGAAGTTCATCCAAGGTCATGTTTAACATAGTCATCCTCTACCGCAATATGATTGTCATAATTGAAACCTCATCAGGTTCGCGTGGGAGTGACTCGATTGGAGAAATACGATTTTGAAAAAATAAATGCTTCTCTCAAGTAAATGAACATTTGGCAAAAATATTTTTTTTTCTCAGCGTAATCCTCCTGCCAGTATTGAGGGGCTATTCACTCCATGATTGAGCCACACTGTGACTTCCAAATGGACTGTATTACTTATGCTACAGATATGAAAAAATTCAATAGAAAACCTAGCGAATTCGCTAGAAAATTCAATTGAAATTCTATAGGAATTCTATGGAGGTTTCTATAGGATTTCTATTGAAAAATTCTATTTGTTTTTTGCGCTGATTCTATTGGATATTCGATAAGAAAAAGTCAATAATTTCGAATTTCTGTTTGAATTTATCTCTTGAGATTTTTTCTATAAGAATGCTTGGGCATCAATTTTCTAAGTTTTTTCCACTCGGATTCTACAATGCAAGACAAAACAAAATCCAACGAAACAAAAATTTGGGAATTCGGTAAAGGATAGATGGGTTTTGTAACGTATAACACTCGGCATTAATATATATCGAATTAGATTTATTCACAGTAAATGTAACTTTGGTTTACACCATGAGAGCTGGAACGAGAGTGTGCTCTCGCGACAACGGTATTAACCATCCAATCGAGGCTGTTCGAATTATTACGAATCGTCGCAAGGTGTTGTGGTAAGGAATTCGGTCACTAAGCCAAGCCCGAACGCAATACATTGAAATAATCTGAAATAAATATACAAATAGCTTCGCTACAAAAAACTTGAGAAATTTGTGCCTAATAATTCTGATAGAAAAAGTTTAAGGGAAATGTTCAAGCGGAAATTCAAAATCTATTGACTTTTTCTTATTAAATATTCAATAGAATCAGCCCAAAAAACAAACAGAATTTTTCAATAGAAATCCTATAGAAACCCCATAGAATTCCTATAGAATTCCAACAGAATTTTCTAGCGAATTCGCTAGGTTTTCTATTAAATTTTTTCACACGTGGATTTCAGGATTAACAGCCCCTCCGCTCGTATTCACTTATAAAATGGCTTTCGTTGAACGCTCTGGCCTCAGAATCACTTCAACAATCCTCAATATCATTATTCAATCCATCTCCATGAACATCAGGATCATGATACCAGGTGTATTCAATACCCCGGACTCTCGATATTTCAATAACTCTGGAATAGCTTTCAACTTCATTATCAACATCCACGCGCTGATAAAGTTGTTCGTAAGACACTAGTAATACCGTCGCCACGCAATACTAACTAGTTTCATCGGGAGACAAAAGGTCCTCCGTCTGCGTGGCGACGTCTCTACCTCACGTATTTGACAATTCACTATTGCACAGACTGTGATTCGATTCCCAGGGAAGTGGCGGTGGTGTGTGAATCAACGATGGTGTTGAGCATCGCGCTATTGAGCACTGATCCAAGGAACAACGATCCATACCTGAATCATTATAAGAGACTGTTATTAGTCGAGACAATTCAAATATTTATCGAGGGAATTTACCTGATAAGTCAAATCCCCCGATGCTGTTTATGTCCAGACCACCGGTGCTAGTGGCACAACAATGTTGCTTCGTTCCCATTTGTTTTTTTCGGCACAAAATCTGCAATTCAATTTTATTATTTGCAATTTGAAAGCTCCATACATAATCAATTCTTGAAATTTATTGTTCTGTTTTTTGCATAGAACTTATTGAATCTGATGATTTACTGATTTAGATATTCCCATTTATTGATACAAATCACCGTATTGTTGCAATACGTATTTTACGTATTGTTGTTCCTATTTTTTTTATTTTTTTGAGTGTGTGACGTGTGGAGCATCCACACATCGGAATTGTTTAATCAATATTTTAATAACAAAAGTATTTGCGGGTCCGATGCTGAATAAGCAGTCACACGGTGTAACAAGAGTCAACCTGAGCTCTTTGAAGGTAAAACCGTGGGAGTGCTTATCAAGCATTTTGGATTTGCAACCGCCTTGCGACTCTGCTCCAAGGCAGAGTACGGTGGGAGGCCGAAGTGTCCAGACGTTGGCCTTCCCCAAAAATCTAGATCCGCGTACGCCGAACCCATTTAACCCATTTTGTCGTGTAACCTTCCTATTAGTTAATTATATTCTCATGATTGGATAACTTGGAGTTTTACTGGTTATTTGGGAGGAGAACCATTCCTAAATCTCCCTTCCCGATTAGTTTCCCCGTGAACGAACGACCCGTAAGCTCACCGGCATCGCTAGCTAGGCGAAAGGGTCAACTGACGACCCGTGGATTTTAAGATACAACTAATAGTATACTATAATCTCAAACATCACAAGTGATTCCCCAACAAAATTAACAATTTGAAAAATTGAACGTTCGCAATACTTCCATACGGCAGCTGAAAAATGGTCCGAAGACCAAGGAATTTTTGTTCATGTACAAGTCCAGCGAGTAAGATATATCTAACGTATTCGTGTCTCGAGAAACAGCGCGCTAGTCAACTTCTTCTTTTTCCCGCTACCTCGTAAATCAGGGAAAAACCGCTGTAAAGTCAGAGAAACTGTCGGCAGTCACGAATTGAAACTCGAAAACCAAGAAGTATTTTCAATAGTGTCTCCGACGTTACCACCCCCCGACACATTGTTTCGTTTTTCCATTCTTAATAAGTAATGACGATATTATACGGGAATCCATGAAATTGCATAATTCAAATGAAGAGTTGGAGGAACAAGTGCACCTTCGTATAAAATATGTCCCGTGAAATTCGGCGGAAGTGGTTGTTGAGCAGCCAGTAGAGAAATGGATTCCAGAAGCTGTTGGACAGTGCTAGCCACGTTGCGAGAAAATCAAGGAAAGGCGGTGGTTTACTTCCGGTGCAGGCAACAACGACTTCTTGAATTGTCCATGGTGTTACCATAACAATAAATCCGAGGCTCATAGCTGCCATTGTACGGGACACCGACGTTGATAGTCGTCTCTCGTGGGCAACGAACTGAAAACAAATCATATCAAGATTGTTAATTATTCGTGACCAGGGAATCCCCATCAATATTAAATTTCTGTAATATTACAAGAATTTGACCCTTACATTAATGAAAGTTTAAAATATGTTGATTCATTTTTCCAAATAATATAATATTAATAATCTGATTTTTGACGAATAATTATGTATTCAAAATTTGTTAATCTGAAACTGTAAATTTACTGCTAAGTGAATAATTCAAATTTCTTGAAAGGAGAATTTGAATATTTGAATTGATGATACTTAAGTACTCAAAAAATTTCAAAAGTGATGTTATCTAATTAATGGCTGCAATATTAACCGTAATAAAATTCTACAAATTTGGCTATCCCTGTTCGTGGTATGTCGAAGCCGCGAAATTACATTTTTCGATTCAAAATATATCAGTGCATTTACTAGAATTTTTCCATTCTCAATTTGAGTGCTTTTCCCGATAAAATTTTATAGAATTCAAAGTGCAGTGGAGGCTTTATATGAGACACCTCTCTATAAGATACCTCGAGCTCCGAGCGCTGGAGGCCCACCCCCACTCTCGGCCCTTTTATCGCCTCCCGAATGTTTAGTTCCGTGGGCTTCTTATAAGATACCTATGGCCCCGATCACTTTCAACGGGAAGAGAGTGATTATAAGGATCAAACGGAGTTAAGGGTCAAACGGGAGGGACGAACGAAGTGATCATAAGGGTCAAATGACCTTAAGGGTCAAGAGTCGAAAAGTGACGAGTCGAAGTGAATTTACCGTTAATGACGGTCACATGACCGTCATATGACGGCTCATGTGACGCATTTGCATCTCCATATATAAAGCCTTGACTGCATTTATTGCGGGGTGGGCAAGTAGGAGGTGAGTCAAAGGCTAATCTATTGTTCTCTCGCAGAAAACCGATCTACAACTACTAATTACAACCTCAGAAAATTCTAAAATCGAATGCAATTCAATTCATTATCCCCATCAATTCCCAATTAAAATAACGTTGAAAAGCCGATAAAAACTTGAAGTAAAGAGCTTTACTTCATTCAAATGTATCGTTTGTCTCCGGATCAAAGTATTTTCATCAACCGATAAAACTGATGTTTTGGTTGCATCAGTTTGTTTTACTCCACAATATCAGAAGGTTTACCATCACGCCCCCAGCCTGGAGACACAAAACCTTCCGGGTTACCCTTTTTTTCATGCAACGATCGAAGTTTGGCACACCTCGGGCGATCATTGAAGCCGGGGACGCCCATTACAGTGTGTGAAAAACAGGCGGGAGAAAAAAACAGGAAAAAAGTTTCAGGGGAGATTAGAAAGAGCCGATCTATGTCTGCGCCGACTGTAACTTTCCGGGAGGCTCGGAGGGCATTGTAGCAGGTGTAACGTGTTGAAGGGAGTTTTCGGTAATCCTTCGACGCACCAGAGAGCTTCGGCGCTGCGTTTTAGATGTTAAACCAGTGGCTTAACAGCTAAAACGTGTCTGGCATCAGTCTTGTCTAATTTGGTTTTTTTATCCGTAATCTAGATGAAACTGAGTTTCTCTGGCTCCGGGGGAATGCGAAATGAATGAATAATTACTGATTTCTCATTTACTTCCAATGTGGGTGACGGCTTTCTGATCACGTGTCATCGAACGGAGGAGAAAGAACAATATTAATGGGGAGGGAAAGCTGCGTAATGTATTCGAATCGGAGGGGTGGCTCGCGGAATGCGAAATTTCAATGGACTGACGACATTTTCTTTCTTGATCCGAAGATATTCGGAACGCAATCGTGAAGCGAAAGGTCATAGGGATATTTCATATATTCTTTTAGTGAAGGAATTGGGACAGTTTCGGTTGTAAGAAATTCAGTACATGATAAATTCTTCAATTTCGCTAGCTCGGTTTTCATGAATGCAATCGTCTTGCGTTGAATTTTCATGAAGCCCGCCTCACAAATAAAAGAGAATTGAATACCATTCTATGAAACATGAATAAACGAATCATAATTGTCCAAATCATTTAGGCCTGAGGAAAATAGAATAATTCCACTTTCTTAATATTGCGTTTACTGAGGTTCTCTTCGAACAAAGTTGATTAGAATTAATAGCTAGAATTATGAGATTATCTCACATTTTTGACGTTAAGGATAGGAGAATCTGAATGCAATATAGTGAAAATGATGATCGATTTTTTCACTTTGAACAAATAATATTAATATCCAAATACAAAATTTCTGATATGAATAAAAAGAAGCTGTGACTCAATATTCCAAATGAAGTTTTAATTTTTAATTTGGTGCTGATAACACGAGATGACAATATTCTAAGCACGGAATTATATTGATGAGATGAACAACAGATTAATTGAATTACCGTGTGAACTAACTAAAAAATGATAACAGTGTGGGCACGGACTTTTACTAGCGTATCAACAAACATTGAATTCCAGAAATTCACACTCTAAAGTGTGTTCTAGAAGGAATTGAATTGTAATTATGATTAAAATCTTATTCAGCGAGCGTAGGAATTAGAACATGAGCAAATCATTTATTGTGATATGAAAATTTAACAGCTGATAAATTGGGACATATGATTCTCATCAGTCGTATTGCTAACGACGTCACATCTTCCTATACTTCGTGACAAGAGTAAAACGATTTGTGACACTGTAAAAAAAAAATGTTCCCATTCATCCCAAAACCAAACAATTTCACTCCTCTTGACCTCAATGATTTAATTTATCAAAATGCAAATCCCACGCGCGATGTGACATCATTCAAGATCATCTGAGCATTCTAAATTCACAATTTTTCGCCATTTTTTTTTCACAAGAAAAATAATTCGGAAAAGGTCATTTTGAAGGAGTCAAAAAAATTCCATTTCATGATGGAGAATCCCAATGTATTCATCAGGGTTAACGTAACACTTTCATAGCCTCCGCAAAATACGAGTAGAGCGTTCACTGAATGCCACAGGTATTTGAATCCATTGAAAACCCAACAATATATAAATAAATCGGAAAGAATATCAGAAGGACACAGCACTTCTCGAATAAGAGGGATAATCCCAGATAATGTAGCTCTCGAGGCTGTAAAATGTCTGGAATTCCTTTGTCGTATTCACCATGTTTAATACATGACTCCAGCTTTACCAGATAGTCCACGATCGAAGAAACTGGTAAGTATACTTCATGGGGAGAAGTCGCGGAAAAGGGGGCGGTGGTGGAGTGAAAAGTGGCGGGAGCTCTGCAATGAAAATCGAGAAGTGATATAATATATAAAGTGGAAAGCTTTGTGGTGAGAACCAACACATCTACTTTACACCAGTGATAATAATACAATCAGGCCATGAAAGGTGGATGTTATGTGAATTTTCACGAATGTTCCCGAGGACTCCGTCTTACAGCTCTGAATATGGAGATTTAACAACCTCGCAATCTTCGGGCGAACGTAAAGCAGCAGCAGTTCCATTCAATAAAGATGCAATCATTTTATTTTCTCGAGTTAACGAAAAATGATACTCGATGCATTGGAATTCATTTCAGTTCATTGATATCCATGGGAAATATAACATTGGGGTTTTCTATTATGAGTCTTAGGGTTTGTTTTATGCCTATTCTACGTGAACAAGCAGATCTTGTGGACTGAATCAAGCGCTTTTTTATTTCAATGAAGTTTTTACAAAAAGGTATATTTTTTCGGGGATCAAGTGAGTGGCGAGCTCGGCCTTCCTTTGGCAAATAATTATCTTGAAATTATCTAGATACTCACGAGTATAGTCATCTAGATAATTATCTCAACATGGACTGTTTCAATCAGAAATAAAGATTTTTTCCATCTAGCCGGTGAGATTTCGAATTGCCGATATGGTTATCTAGATGACGAGATCAATCATCTAGATGAGTTCTTCAAGAATTATCTCCATTATGAGTTTTATATAGATAGTGCGGAAATTATCTTGATGATAATTCTGAAATCTGGATATGTAGATAATGAAGATTTCGTAATTCTCCAGATGATTTTCACATCGATCTTCTCCGTAGTCATCTAGATTACGGATATAATTCTCGCGATAACTAAAAATTATCTTCATTCCGAGCGGTGACTATCTTGATAATTACTCTAATAAAAATATTGGCGGCGATCTAGATAGTCAACTCGGGAATTATCTCGATTTTCAATCTCAAAATTAGATATCCAGATAATTGTGAATGATTACCTATCATATGACTATATAAAAAAATTAATATTGAGTCATTTTAGTCGGACATCATTTTGACGATAAGTAGCTAGATAACCTTCGCTTCGATCTAGATAACCATCTCATTAATCATCTAGATGATATTTCCCGCGATAATCCTAATACTTGGCCTCAAAATTACAATTGATGAATCCTCTCATAATTACACTCGCGATGATCTAGATGTACATCTAAAAAATTATCTCGATATTAAGTAATATCGGTCAAAAATACAGAACATCTTGATTGAAATTAATAAAATACATGTTGTATGCGGCACTCGAATCGCAATTTGATATTATAAAAAGCGATAATGAAAGCAATGAGGTAAAGCACTTGGCGTAGGGTGAATCGTCCAGTGTTCGAACGAATAACGTCACAGTTATTTTTGACGTAGATTTAAAAATATAACCAAGTCGAAAATTGATTTAAAAATAATTATTACTCCCCTGTACATCTCCATAGATAATAGAAAAAAATATTATGGATATTAATTGACGATACAATTTATGATATGAATACAAAAAGCTGAAAATGTGTGAAAACCCAGTAATGGAACTGCGTATTCTGTAATGGGAATATGCTATTGGCGGCGTGTCATCGAAAACTGTTTTTTCCGCTGGTAATAATGTAACTTAGACATTTTCAATCGTCACAATATCATTTGGAAATGTCATTATTTTTTTTTTCATGTATAATGCGAGGAATCTCTACCTTCTACTAATTTATTTTATAGAAAAAGTACCAATTAGTTCGATTACTGGTTTGGTTCGAACACTGGTTGGTTCATCCTATTTGATTCGTCAATAAAAATGGAAAATTAAATCACACAAAAGTTGGAAACAGCGAGGTGGATAGATTTGCCGTTAACCGAGGGAGAGGAAAATGATGAGGAACCCAATCGTAAATCAAATAATCGATCACTGCAAGTTGGTATATACTGAGCGACACTACCGTTGGAGGACGAAGTCTTGGACTCATCGTTCTACCCCTTGGGTTGAGGTAATTACCGCCCAAGCATTTAGCCCCCTTTCCAGAAGGATTGCCCCCCACCTCCGCCCCCCGTTTTCTCACTCCCCTTCACGGAACTCTCGGTACTCTTCCGGCACGACTTTTACAGAATGATGACTGCACTATCTCCAGGGAGATTCTTTTTTTTTAACATGGGGCTTTTGACACTTCAACACTTTTATTACAAGTTACCAATGTAGTTGGAACATTCATCACGTTGTGGTGATAAATCGCGGGAGGAAGGAAAGAATCGAAAACGAGATCGTGATTATTTTTTTAGTTGCGTTTTTTGTCATGTTCATTGCGCTTTTTTATAGTTGATGAAAAAAAGAGGGCAATTACATGAGAAATTCTTCATTTATGGAATTTCGGTAATATTTTATAAAAATTTGAAAAAATCGCTTGGGGACCGGATGAAGACGTCACTTCAATCATTCTTTCCTGTCAGTTTCGATATTCCTTTCAATTAATTGTTTATAATCTTTCTCATTGCAAAAAGCAATACGACCGATGAGAATCATGTCCAAATTTATCAACTGTTGAATTTTCATATTACAATAAATGATTTGCTTATGTTCTAATTCCTACGCTCACGGAATAAGATTTTAATCATAATTACAATTCAGTTCCTTCTAGAACACACTTTAGAGTGTGAATTTCTGGAATTCAATGTTTGTTGATACTCTGGTAAAAGTGCGTGCCCACACTGTTATCAATTTTTAGTTAGTTCACACGGTAATTCAATTAATCTGTTGTTCATCTCATCAATATAATTCCGTGCTTAGAATATTGTCATCTCGTGTTATCAGCACCAAATTAAAAATTAAAACTTCATTTGGAATATTGAGTCACACCTTCTTTTTATTCATATCAGAAATTTTGTATTTGGATATTAATATTACTTATTCAAAGTAAAAAATCGATCATCATTTTCACTATATTGCATTCAGATTCTCCTATCTTTAACGTCAAAAATGTGAGATAATCTCATAATTCTAGCTATTAATTCTAATCAACTTTGTTCTGAGAAAACCTTAGTAAACGCAATATTAAGAAAGTACAATTATTCTCTTTTCCTCTGACCTAAATAATTTGGACAATTATGATTCGATTATTCATGTTTCATAGAATGGTATTCAATTCTCTTTTGTTTGTTATGCGGAATTCATGAAAATTCGACGCAAGACGATTGCGCTCATCAAAACCGCCCTTCCTCCATTCGTTCTAGGTATTACCCACGCTTTTTTTTAGAAAGCATTGCTCGAAAGAAATATTCTTCATACCAAAACCACATCTCGTCATTCCTATTAACCACTCCGAATCAATTTATGACGACAAAAATTGGACAGCAGTCGGCATCGACGGAAATTCCACATTAATATGAACATTTACAATTTCATTTCCTGTACATTGCATTCATTAGTTCTCCCATCGCCCATTCCTCCCATACATCACCCCCAAATCCTCTCTTTTTACACGTCACAACTTTGATCCATCTTGTCACACATTCCCCTCCCGCCCCGTCCGTTGAAGCCTGTCACACGTCGCCTCCAATGTTCCCAAATCCCCCGTCTCCTACGTGTCTCCCCGAACTTTCCTCACAATCTGTGTCGTATTACCCCTCCCGCCCCGCCCCTCCACTTCATCGTCAACCTAATCAATCTCCTCTCAATTAACCGTTTCCCCGATTAAACGCATCAGTATGCAAGTGAAGGCGAAAAAAAAAATAACTCCAACGACAAGTATCCGCTCCGTCGCCATCTCCAGAGGATCCTCGGGTGCTGGATCATGGGGAAATTTCGATCGGGGCATTCAAAGTGAATTTGGCAAGGAGTCCTGGCCTAAAGCCTGAAAGTTTACTCCCCCCCCCCCTCACCACCTCCCGTGCTCTCATTTCACACTCACCCGTTCTATTGGATAGACATAAACACGACCTTTACTGGAAGCCACTCTTGCTCCTTCATTTTTCTTCATTCCGCTCTCTTTTCGGTACTTGTACCCATAAATTTAGCGGAAATGATAGAGACTTCGGGTTGAGTTCGATGGAGTGGATGCATTCGACGATCTCCCGTGTCTCATTCTCGTCTATCAAGTTTTGTTTGAGGAAGTCTAAGTTTGCCGAAGGGAGGGGGGATTCTTTGTTTGATGAGACAGTCGCAGTTTGGTCTCGATTTATCATCGAATAATTTTGAATGGGGAACTTCTTGCCAATGCTTCCTGATAGAAATTTAGAGCGTGGGTGGGGGAGGGGGAGTGGAGTTTGTTCGCAGAGAAAAAAAGTTTTCGGTTTACATTAACAGTCTCTGGATTTCAGTACTCGGTGTACTGAAATGCGGAGACAGAGTACTGGATCTGAGGGAAAAAATTTCATTAGAGTTTTCATCTCCAAATAATTCTTTCCGAGCTATCCTCACGATATGTCGGTATGATTTTTATGTATTCAACTCCCATATGACTCCCTCGACCTTAGTCTGACCCTTGTGACCCTTAATCTGACCTTCATGAACCTTATTCTAACCTTTGTGATCCTTGTTTTTTGACTCCCATGTCTCCTCTGAAGCCTTACTCTGACCCTTGTGACTCTAAATCTTATGACCCTCAATCTTGAGACCCTTAATCTGACCCTCATGACCTAACGGTTAATCTTGGGCCCTTAATCTGACCTTCGTGATTCTTGTGACCCTTAATCTGATACATATAACCCGTAATGTGATCCTCATGACCCTTAATCTTGTGACCCTGAATCTTGCGAACCTTAATCTGAATCACATAACCCTTAATCTGCTCCTCATGACCCTTAATCTTGCGGCCCTTAATCTGACCCACATAACCCTTAATCTGACCCTTATGACCATTGTGACTCTTAATCTGACACACAACACCCGTAATTGGACCCTCATGACCCTTAATCTTGTGACCCTTAATCTTGCGGCCCTTAACCTGATCCACCTAACCCTTAACCTGATCCTCATGAGCCTTGTGACCCTTAATTTCGGAGCCTTGATTTCGAGTACCAAATTTATATCACCAGAAGTCGATTTGGATTTTCATAATATAGAGATAAACATTATTCCAGTATCTGCCCATTGTAGGGAGATTAATCTCCGCATGGAAAAAGTCCCTAACGCTATTTTGTCGAGTGTAAATACAGATTTATCAATATATATCAAAACTTACCCTCTCGATATTTCCACCGCTGACAATCTCCGGTGCATTAACACACACGACACGCTTAATCCTCAATTTGTTAACATGGAAAGCCGACCCGTAGCAGTACATCAGTACCATGGTTGTTGGGAAATAAAAGCAGCAACAGGCCAATATCCTGTAAATCCATAGAATAATCGAGTTAACGTAATTCAATTTATTACAGCAACATTATTTCGGGCAGCGCAAGGTTTTATTGAATTCTTTCATGGGTAACATAAAATCGTTAATGAACCTCTAATGACCAAATTTTCAAACTCCCTCTCTCCGTGGACCCAGCCCCTAACTCGACATTCCTGAAATACGTTATTTCACAAGAAAATAAAATGTTCCAGACCGACAGGATTTTCTGGCAAATTTTTCAATAATTATCTTGAGAATGATCTTTATAGGTATCTAGATAATCTAGATAATCATATACATGGAAATTTTAGCGAGTTTTCTAATTATTTTCATCATTATTCTGAAGATTATCTAGATACTAGGCATGTATACTCATCTAGATAATTATCCGAGAAATATCTGCTCGAGGGAAAAATAGAGGAGTTTTCATCTGGATGATTAACTTCTGAATTGTCTGTATAGTTATCTAGATAATTGTAAAAGTGATTGCCTAAATGCTTATCTCCTAAATTATCTCGATATTGAGTAATTTCAGTCAATCATCATGATTACGGTAATCTTCCAAATAATCTCTAGGACTATCTAGGTATCCATCTCGGAAATTATGTAGATAATACCCTCGATAATCTCAGTATTTAGCCTCACAATCATTGAAAAATACTCTCATGATTACATCCGCGAGAATCTAGATGGTTATCTAAAAAATGATTTCGACAGGAAATAATTTCGGTCGAAAATACAAAATCCTTTCATCTACCTGATAGAACACCCAAGAAGAGAAATCCCTCAATTTTTCCCTGAAAAATTTTCAAAATAAAATGTCCATGATAAACTTTCAAAATAAAATATTCCAGACCGACAGGATTTTCTGGCAAATTTTTCAATAATTATCTTGAGAATTATCTTTATAGGTATCTAGATAATCATATACATGGGAATTTTAGCAAATTTTGTAATTATTTTCATTATTATTCGGAATCTAGATAATTATCCGAGAAATATCTACTCAAGGGAAAAATAGAGGAGTTTTTATCTGGATGATTAACTTCAGAATTGTCTGTATAGTTATCTATATAATTGTAAAAGTGATTGTCTAAATGCTTATCTCCTAAATTATCTCGATATTGAGTAATTTCAGTCAATCATCATGATTACGGTAATCTTCCAAATAATCTCTAGGACTATCTAGGTATCTATCTCGGAAATTATCTAGATAATAATACTCTCGATAATCTCAGTATTTAGCCTCACAATCATTGACAAATACTCTCATGATTACATCCGCGAGAATCTAGATGGTTATCTAAAAAATTATTTCGACATGAAATAATTTCGGTCGAAAATACAAAATCCTTTCGTCTACCTGATAGAATACCAAAGAAGAGAAATCCCTCAATTTTTCCCTGAAGCCACTCATCCGAGATGATCCGATATTTAATAAATCGTCAGAAATTTCCTAGCTTTTGTACATAAAATCAATATAACAAACCTGAAAGATGCTTTTGCGAAGAAAGGATCGCAGGCGAGGAGACCCGAGCTATTGAAGTAGTAACCGCCGCTGGGTAAGACAAGACTTCCGAATATCGCAACGCTGGCTATCCAAGTGGTAGACATCACAGCCATGCATCCCTGACGCATGTAGTACTGAAAGAAAATATCATATTTCAATAAACGGCGGGAATTCTTTTTCTTTCCCTGAAAAACTCATTTTTCAGGGTTCAATAGGTTCGGTAGGCCATGAAACTCTAAGATTGATGGCACGTCTCTGTGTCTCACGTCCTGGGACATGAAAACGTGAAAGGAGGATGATGTATTCGTATTCCCGGTAGTTTTCAATATTTTCTTCCCATCCATCGATCAATTTCATAATTTTGATCATTTCCTTCCTGCGTCTCAATCAACTTTCCAATAGGGATATTTCATTCATTTTTTTCTGGAAGAAGCTGAATACATGAGAAATTCTCCGATTTTATCATTTCGGTTATTTTATCAAAATCATTCTCATTACAAAAAGCAATAGGAGAGATGAGAATCATATGGCCCAATTTATCAGATGTTAAATTTTCATATTACAATAAATGATTCGCTCATGCTCTAATTCCTATGCTCACTAAATAAGATTTTAATCATAATTACAATTCAATTCCTTCTAGAACACATTTTAGAGTGTGAATTTCTGGAATTCAACGTGTGTTGCTACTCTGGTAAAAGTGCGTGCCCACACTGTTATCAATTTTTAGTTAGTTCACACGGTAATTCAATTAATCTGTTGTTCATCTCATCAATATAATTCCGTGCTTAGAATATTGTCATCTCGTGTTTTCAGCACCAAATTAAAAATTAAAACTTCATTTGGAATATTGAGTCACAGCTTCTTTTTATTCATATCAGAAATTTTGTATTTGGATATTAATATTATTTGTTCAAAGTAAAAAATCGATCATCATTTTCACTATAATGCATTCAGATTCTCCTATCTTTAACGTCAAAAATGTGAGATAATCTCATAATTCTAGCTATTAATTCTAATCAACTTTGTTCGAAGAAAACCTTAGTAAACGCAATATTAAGAAAGTAGAATTATTCTATTTTCCTCTGACCTAAATGATTTGGACAATTATGATTCGTTTATTCATGTTTCATAGAATGGCATTCAATTCTCTTTTATTTGTTAGGCGAGCTTCATGAAAATTCGACGCAAGACAATTGTAGTCATGAAAACCGCTTTAATTTCTCCATTCGTTCGAGATATAGCCCATATTTTTTTTTTCTAGAAAACGATCGTTCAAAAAATTTTGTCATTCATACCAAAACTACATAACATCATTTCTCTTGGCCGCACTGATTTAATTCATCCGAGCATTTTCAATTCATCATTTTTCAATAATTCTTTTAAACAAAAAAAAAATATTTGGAAAGTTTTATCTTCCATGCAGGCATAATTTGACATAAATTATCGAATAAAAGAATAAAAAAAATCCGTGGAATATCCGTAATTGATTCAGTGCCGGTATTTTTAGTAGGGAAGTAATATAATGCTTTATGACGCTAATGGAACTATTATTTAATTCACTCTTTCATTGATATGAAATCAACTGTTAAAACTGGCTTCCAGGGAATTGTAACATGAATCAATCGACGGACAATATACCTGCACCGACCCTAATGAGTCATTTGAATGCGAGAATTTGACAGATATCGGTGGTGCTTCCATCATTAATGCCTACAATTCACAACACAATCACGGATTCGATGGTAAATTGCTCAATTATCACAGGCTGATCGATGCCAAACCGCAAAATACGATTTTCTCATCTCATTCCTATCGTGCCAATGGTGGAAATCGCGTGTTTTTTTGCTTCAAAATTACGGAAATAATGCAATTTTTTAAATTGGAATTTTTCGTAATGGTTTGTTCGTTTCGAACGATGAGTCAGAGTCAAGTTTTTTAGTTGAATGAAAACGAGGGCATTCTTTCAGTTAATAATTTCATCATGTCAACCAAATGTTTTTAACAATAATTAATACAATTTCTGAGAATCTTATTCAATCGAATTGCTATTTGATTTTTTTAAATGACTATTAAACTAAAATGAAAAAAATTGAAATAATTAATTAAAATTTTTAATAAATTGAAAATAAATAAATAAATAAATTTTCATTTCAAATTTTTAATCAATTAATTAAAATTTTCAATGTTATGAAAAAATTATTTTTAATTATTTGAAATTAATTAAATTTAATGAATGAATTTAATTAAATTATTAACTAATTTTAAGTTGATTAAACATTAAATTTCGGTTAAAAAATAAATGATTACCCAAACGTTTTCAACAATAATTAATAAAATTTCTGAAAATCTTATTGAATCGAATAGCTATTTTAAATGGCTATTAAACTAAAATAGAAAAAAATTATCATTCAATTTCTTTAAATTAAATTACTACTTTAACTATTAACTTTTAACCTGACTATTAACTTGACCCACGAATAAAAAATATTCAACATATTCCTGAAACAATAGCCAGTCTCAATAAAAGAGAATCGATCAAATCGATGATTCGACGATTGACCAAACGGAAAGATATTCATTTTCATATCCCGGGATTCCCCGGATTTTCTCCCCGGGATTTCATCGAGCTAGTTCACGCTGCTTCGAACACCTAGCTACCTGATCCTCTTCCATAGACGAGTTTTGAAGGATCAATCAGCTGATTAAACAGCGATACTTCTCTCAACTCGCATTGTCTCCTGTTATTTCAGCAAAAAATTGTTGCCTCGTAGGCAGGAGAGTGCGTCGTCGTTAAAGGCCATTGTTCAAGAATGATATGCACTTAATATTGATAGCCACAAAAGGGGCTGGGAGGTCCACCGAATGCAGGCGTCACAACTGGCTGGTTCACCACCGGAGGGACATCCGATAACCCCGAAACAGTCGGATTGACGGGTCCAACATGTGTAGTTACGCTTTCTCATGTGTCACATGCGTCAGACGTTTTTGCCACCAATCATTCACAGTTTCAAAATATTTTATACGCGGAACAGACATAGTATGCGGTGACAAAACCACGGAGATATTTTTATTTGCAATATTATTCTGATGAAGGAAATGATAAAAAAAATCTTGAACTACTTGGATGAAATGTTTGTGGGTTTGAATCAAGTATTTTTCGACTTGAATAAAGTCGTTATACACTATTTCATGCAGGTAGATTTTCCGATGCGAAACCATCCATTTTGCAATAATAATTCTGTACAATAATTTCTGAATAATCAAATTTTTAACGCACAGCAAATAGCCCTATAATTATTCCAAATATTATCTAGATGATTCCGGGTATAATCATCTAGATAGTAATCTGAAGAAATGAATAATTCTGTTCGAAATAGAGAAATCGTTCGACTAACCGATGATATTAAGAATAATCTAAATACTCATCTAGATTACCATATTAATATAGTGAGAGTGTTGATCTAGATGATTCATCTAGATCAACACTCTCGGAATCATTTTTATAATCAACTGATCCTCATAATCAATAATCAACTCAGGAAGTATCTCGAGTATCTGTACGGTACTTATATATCTAGATAATGATGTTCGCAATTATCTAGATAACAATCTAGAGAAATTGAAAAATTATTAGGCAAGTATCCAGATAATATAAAAAATCCATCTAAGTATCCATGTCCACAATCATCTAGATAATCATTTTTGTGATCTAGATGTTTATCGAAAAATTATCTCGATATTATGTCACTTCCGTCAGGAAAACAAACCCTACTCCGCTTGAAACAAGTAGAATGTTTACTAGAATCAATTCTGAATCCATTTGAGTTGTGAATTCCCTTTGTGATTTTTTTTACTATTTTGAAAATGTTAAATATTTTTCGAACCGAACACAGTGCCTCCATTCAACCGCGAAAACCAAGCAAACTTTGACATGTAATAACATCATACATGACTGCAGCATCCCGCTGCTCCCATGCCCTCAACTATCATCGCCATATAGACACTACCAACATATACCTATAAAACACAGGGAGCAGGGTGGATTTCAACTGCGGAACCTCCGAAACATATTTTAACGTCGTTGCCAGTCGGCTGCCTCCTCTTTCCCAAAACACACAGCGTATTATAGGTAGGCAAATGCATAGATCCTGGATGGAGAGGAGGGCAGGATCGCTGCTGTGGAAATGAAAGATCGCAGCCTCTTCATTCAAAAATCCCCGAGAAAATATCAACAACTAAATGTAAATGGAGATAAATAAACAGTCTGAATATTCACAGTGTATTCAATCATGAAATTATATGCATGGAGTTACTGATATGCTCAGTGTCCTAGTTAATGCCAAATTATTGTATTTTATTCATAATTCATCGAATGAACGGACTTGCAGTTTTTTGCTGTTTTTTTTTATGATTTGAGATTAATATTTTCTTAAATGAATGATTAAATAAATTAGTATGGGAAGGAATTAAATGATGATAAATTAATATTTCTGTCATTTGGGAAGGCCATTTTTCTGTTGACATCCTTCGGAGCCAGTGAATCTAAAACACTTATCTAGATGATGATTTTCAGATTATCATCTAGATAATAATCCTAAAATTGATCTATTTCAGTCCGAAATGGAGAAATTTTTCGCCAAGCTAATGAGATTTTCAATTATCTTCCTACTCATCTAGATGATTAACATCGCCAACTAATGACAAGTTATCTTCATATTCATCTAAATGACGGTGTTAATTATCGAGATGAATACTCTCGGAATTATCTTTATAATCATCATTATAATCGATGCTCAACTCAAAAATTATCTCGATTATCTTTCAGGTAATCTGGATAATTGTGAACGAAATTATCTAGATGAAGTTCTAGAATATTTGATTTTCTTCGTTCGCACAATTACGATAATTTTTTTTTGACTGGAGAAATGGAAAATTCCCTTTGCACTAGATGATTTGTTTACTCTTCCCCGGTAAACTATGATTTCTATCCATTAAGGGTGCCAAGTGAATTTGAAAAAAGATTCAAAAAAAATTTTTCCTTTCCCTCCATCATTGGAGAAATATGTATCCATCCGACGAAATTTCAAACCTGCAACCGGAACTAGACATCGAGAAAATAAATGTGGAAAATCCTCTATTTCGCGTGACGGCGGGTTGAAATATCTCTCTTATTCACCCCGGTACCCCATTATTTTTTGTCGCCATCACATTGAACAGATCATTCCCCATATCTTGAAATTTTTTCAAATGTTTTTTGAGTTCCTAGGGGCCATAAGAGGCCGTGTATAAGGCTGTTTTTGTTTATTTAATTTCTCGATATCCATAAGTTCTAAAATTTTAAAATTGTCACCGATGTTCACCATCTGTCTAATACTATTAATTTAAAAAATTATAACTTTGTTGGTGAATGTCAATTTTCAAGGTCATCGCCAAATTCACTTGGCACCCTTAAGTAATCGCGGAAAAAAATGAGGGTACTGTTACTACACTGACCTTTTTCGAGGAGTGACGGTAGTAACGATGTGGATGGAGCATACACACGTAACGATCGATCGCCATGCAGACGAGTATGACGGCACTTTGTTGAGTGAGAGCACCACGCAATAGTGCCTGCAACATAAAAGTCACTGGAAAAAATATTGCAGCATGGAAGTGACCGAGACGATCATCTATTTTTAACGTGCCGCTGAATTAATATTAACCTGCGGAGGGGGCAAAATGGCCCGTTGAAACATCTTCGTATTTTTTAGGTAGAATATCGCTCTCGACATTTTGGGGAAGAAATCGTGAAATTTTTAACAATCACTGATTCATGTTGAATTTTCAATTGGGATTCAAAATTTTTATCTTGAATTTAGACATAATTGTTATCACATTTTAGCTGCACTGAAGTTTCAAGGATTTTCGTCATTTAAAATTCAAATTATCAGGAAGAGGGAAATTTAGAAAGTCATGGAAAGGTTAAAAATTTCAATATTGGGGCGATGTTGGCTTGCAACGTTGGGACAATGTTGGCTGTCAACATTGTGGCAATGTCGGGGCTGCGTTGGCAATCAACGTTGATGCAGTGTTGTGTGTCAAGGTTGGGGTAATGTTGGCTGCCAACGTTGGGGCAATATTAGGGATAGGTTGGCTATCAACGTTGGAGCAATGTTGGCGGCCAACGTTGGGGTAATGTTGGTTACCAACATTGGAGCAGTATTGGCTGTCAACGTTGGGGCAATGTTGGGGTAATGTTGGCGACCAACGTTGGGGCAATGTCGTCTGCCAACATTAGGCCGACGTTGAGTTCAATGAATCATTAAATTCAATTTGAAACACCATAGAAATTGCACTCGCAAGCAAATTGCTAATTTATTAGCAAAAATATATTGACCATGCTGTGACGAAAGCAATTTCCCACTTAAATCACAGTCCACCTCACTCTCTTGAAAATGACTAGGCACCGCCCATTAAATTTCAATTTCTATCAAACATTGCACTTGACAAAAATCACAGCTCGTCAACGTGAAAAAAAATATCAATTTCCTCAAGAGTTTAATCCCAACCCCTTCTAGCGGCACTGCTGAAACGCATTATTTTTCTCATCCATCCCTGAAATTAATTCCCATATACATGCGATAAACCGCACCCGAGAAACGACCATGGCCCTGGAGGCTTTGGCGATTGTCCAATAAAAACCTCTGATAATCCACGGGATAAATTCTCCACAGACATACATGCACTACGTATCCGTGTTTGGAGAGGACAGTAGAAGAGACCTTTAAACCGATATCCGGTGGAAAACGGTAAATGGAACACGCCCTTGAAATACACTTGAAATATGGTTTCCGTGATCGTACTATTCTCACATTTAGATACACTTATGTAATCTGTCTTCCGGTCCTGATAAAAAACTCGGGTATTCCGCGATTTTTGCCGTGATTCATTTTGAAAAATTGGGGCGGTTCTTTCCAACGGAGATTCATCAAAATTAATGGCTGGGTCCTGAACACATTTGGCCAGATTTCGTGTACCGGAGTCACTTATCGGGAGACTTCACTTTATATACAAGCGCGGGTATAGATGTATGTCACTCGATCAATTAACGAGTAATAGGCTAATTGAGTCTAGTTGGTAGTACCAGCGTAGGTTGCCAAAATTTATCGTAGGGCATGGAAATACGGGTGGGAAAAAATACCCTTGAATTATGGATTTTTCAAAGCTTTAGCGATTTTATAAAATCGTCGTCGACGAATAAATTTGCAAAATTCGTATCACTTCGTCCGGTTTTTGTAGAATGAACAATTTCCTTAAGTCTTTCACAAAGGTTCTCCGTATTTCCATAGTTTTTGTTCACTCGTTTTGTCTTCTTAGTACTTGAGTTTTTTAATGAATGAATATTCTATGAAGGTAAGTGTGCCCACGCTCGTCCAGCTAAAAAACACATCATTAGTCCAATATTTCTATCGAAATGAGTGGGAGGAAGCGATGTTTTACGTTGGATATCAAAAAGGGCAAATGGGAATTTTAAAATGATGAAAGAAAAAACCATCTAACGACTGTTTTTAAAAATTCTCAAATAGTTCCGAAAGTTCTAGAAATTCACAAAATTTAACAATTAGATAAATCGATTTTTCTAAGAAACCCTAGAAATGTCGAGGAAGGTTTGAAACTTCCCCCTAATAACTGATTTTCAAAAAAAGAAAAAAACACGTATTTGTTGATTTCAAATGTAGATTTCAGAATTAAAGTAGTAGAATTCAGAATTAAAATAATTTTACTACATACAAAAGCAGGTATTGCATTGTCCAATTTTTAATTTACATTAAATTAATTATCACTCAATATTTTCAATTTTTCAAATATTGTATAAATCAGTCATCAACTTCGCAAGAATGATGATTATTAGACTAATGGAAAAATAAAATTCAGATATTTAGAATTAATTGCTAAATTATAATTGAGAGTTGAAAATTATTTTCAAATTTAAATCAAAAAGTTGTGAACTTTGATTAATCTATGGTAAACTTCTTTTAAAACCACTTAGTAGCAATTTTTGCCAATTCATGTTTTGTAGAAAAATTTTGAATTTTCTAGAATGACCCCAACATTAATATGCATAACGAAATATATGAATGTCTCTAATAATAATAATAATAATAATAATAATAATAATAATAATAATAATAATAATAATAATAACATCAATAACAACAACAATAATAATAAAAATAATAATAATCGTGATGCTAATAAATTTCCATAATGAGAATAAGAGAAATCTCAATTAATTATTAATAATTTCGCACTTGGAAATGTCCTTAATACGAGACATTTGGATATAAATGATGATTGAATCAGGCATACAATGTGCAATACGTCGGTAATTTCATGGTTGCAGAGGAAATGTATGCAATATCCCACCCCAGGCGGTGAAAATATTCTAAGGAGTATACCTTGTGGTACCCATCAATTCAGTCATCTCTATCATCATTATCAGGGAGATAATTGTGAGTGTTACGTTACCTGAATTTGGCAGACAACTTCACCGTACGGCCAGCAGCCGTAGATAGCCGGGAGAAATCCAAAGGGCGTCACCAGTATTCCAATGGCGAGGTCGTTACTCGCGAGACTCGTCAACAGATATTTTGGCTGAAGAAGAGATAATTCAGGAATTTAAAGTTCATTGTATTAGAGTTCAATGAGAATGTTTGTTTTTTATTCTTTTGAAAAAGAGAAAAATTTAGAAAATTTTGCAGTTTTTTTAGAGATTTTTTAATTTTTTGATAATTCAAGAAAATTATTAATTTTCCTAAAAAACGATGTTTAACATTTATTTCATTTTTCAACAATTACGGGTAGTGATAAGGCCACTTTGAAAAGTGAAAGAGAAATTATTAGATTCAAAATTAAAATCAGGAAATGCTCCTTGCGGCGTAGTTTCCATACGATTTTTTTTTCTATGTTCGTTACACTCCGAAGAATGAAGTTAACCATCCGTTTTACGTCATTCGCAATAGATCATGAATAAATCAGTAGTGGTAAACCGAGTATAAGTCAATTTTGACTATTGCCCAGTTTTCAATAAATATCTTAAAATCTAAGGGAAATAGCAAAATTTTTGTCATAACCTTTTTTGTAGAGCAAGTTGAGAGCTACAAAAAAGGAAATTACAGCAATTTCGCTATTTCCCTTAGATTCCGAGATATTTATCGAATCAGGCCAATAGTCAAAATCGACTTATACCGGTTTACCACTTCGCTACTGAAATGAATTTTGAATTTCACAAATTTTTCGCGTCTCTAGAGTAGAGTCAAAAAACACTTTGTCCACGAGTGTCTAAACCTATTTTTCACCTCAATGTGTGAAAAGTGGAATTTTACGCACGCGCAAAATTTCACTTTACGCACGAGTGATGAAAAAATCAGTAATGAACACTTTATAAGCCTTTAGACACGTTTTCTACCAATGAAACCGATGAATCATTAAAGACATCAATACCGGGATAACGGTGAGACCCCACTCTCACCTGAGCATGAATGTATTTACTGTAGCGACGGCTATTGATGACGCAGATGACGAGTAGATTAGCGAACAGTATTCCCAGGCTTAGCATGAGTATTAAAGCGGCGCGAATGAGTTCTCCCGGGCCCGGGGTCGTCCACATCATTTTTGATGAGCCATCGGGCCAACAGCTACTGTTGTTCAAAGCCGGTGGCAGCAGAGTGGGCGACTGATGCTCTAACATCATTCAGAGACTGATGGCACAGGGCCCTCAACCTCCCCCAGGTACCTGTATCCTAATTATTCAAGTTTCTCGGTCCCGCTAAGAGGACACTGTTGAGCCACTAGCCAACACCGCTACTCCCAGTCCAACGATCGAATGGGAATTTGATCGTCGAACTCCCAGCATCGTAAAATTTATCTTGCTTCCTGGAAAGAGTTGGGAATTCATGGGGTTGATTGGGGGTACACTGGGGAAAAAAATTACTTTTGCCAAGGAATCATTTTCTTGGGAGAAGAATTTATTTTTTTAGGAGCTTATTTCTCTAGGCCAGTCATTCCCAGGTGGTCCATGTCCATCTCCAAATATTACAATTATGTTGAATAATGAGATGATTATGCTACATATGACCTTGAATGAACACGCTTTATTTTTCAATTTTTTCAAATTCGAGGTTTTCTAACGTATAATAATTTGAAATAATTTTAAAGGTTAATAATTGTCAATGGAGTTCATTCAAGGCCGTATGTAATATAATCATTCCATAATTGAACATAGTTGTAATATTTAGAGATGGACTTGGACTCCTTGATAATGACTGGCCTGGAGAAATACGCTCCGCAAAAAATAAATTCTTCTCCCAAGAAAATGATTCCTTGACGAAAGTAATTTTTTTTCTCAGTGTATCCGAGCGTTTTAATTTTGCTTCTGAATGGAAACATTGTATTCGTCATTTTAAATTTATAATTTTCCAATCATTCTTTAAAATTTGATATGAATAATCGAATCAAAGAATTACAAATTATTATTATTTTTCGTTTTCTTTTTTTTCAATTATTCTAAAATGAAAATGTCTCCACTCCAATTACAAGAGACTATGATTATACAAAAAGAAAAGTACAGCAGAGGCTTCGTATAAGATACCTTAGGGACAGTAGGAGAGTGGAATTCCGGGAACCCCTCTGCCCCCACTACACGCGCCCATAGAGAGGAGAAAAAAAGGGATCAGCGGTTTGAAATGAGATGCCTCGCTCGTTGCGCCCGAATTCAATGAAATTTTCATTTTTACTGAATGAATATCGATAACTAATCAATTTATATGTGTTTAATGTTTTGAATTTGTGTCGCCCGCGTTTCCTTTTCTCTCTAAACCCCGCGTGATAGAATGGCAGCTGATGTTGGGGGATTGTTGGTGGACTCGAGAATAATCACAGACGAAAAATTACGATTTTTCGATGGGAAAAGAGAAAAAAAAATCGATGTTTATTTCCATTATGAAAAAAGTGGTGTGACCCCCCTCCCCCCTTAAGGTCATTAGACCCTCATGATCACTTCGTTCGTCCCTCCTGTTTGACCCTTAACACCGTTTGATCCTTGTAACTACTCTCTTCCCGTTGAAAGTGATCGGGGCCATAGGTATCTTATAAGAAGCCCACGGAACATAAATATTCGGGAGGCGATAAAAGTCTCGAGAGTGGGGGTAGGCCTCGAGCGCTCGGAGCGCGAGGTATTTTATAGCCCGAGTCGAATAATTGGACCTGACAAATTCTACTTAGGTCTCTCCGTTCAGAACTGGATAGGTCTTGGGAAGCCTCTTCCCAAGTGCTTCCGAGACCTTTCTACCTCTGGTTATGTCCCACTTCAGCACTTGTTAGGTGTAAGCAGGACTTGCATTCAGACTTTCCAAATCCTTGCCGGTCCCCGTAATTCTATGGGCCTATATTAAATCTGCGTTCATATCCCTATTTACTCATGCGTTATTGAAA